GCCATGTGCCCCCAGGCCGGGAGATCTGGCACTTCTTATGCAGCGTTTCGAGCGCTGGTTGAATTCAGAGCATAGCAGTACTCTACATCCCGTCAAGTAAGTGTGTTAAAGATGACTGACTGGCGATTATGAACCAAAATTGTCCTTCCCTCTAAAGCTATGCTGCTTTAGCCCATTACAAATTGGTCCATATTCATCCCTTTATTGATGGCAATGGACGTACTTCACGTCTGTTAATGAACACGCTTCTTAATGCGAGCTGGCTACCCGCCTGTTATCATTCCGAAGCAGCAACGCAGCAAGTACTATCATTTCCTTAAGCTCGCCAACGAGGGCGACATTCGGCCGTTCGTGCGCTTTATAGCTGATTGTACGGAAAAGACGTTGGATCTGTACTTGTGGGCTACCAGCGACCTACCTCAGCAGATACCTATGCTCATCCAACAGAAAGCGAAGCCGGTGAGCGCCTGGCCCAGCTACAGAGTCCGCACTTGTCCCAAAGCGCACCAATGCCGGAGTTCTATGAGTCCGGATCTGGATCTATTCCCTGACACATGGCTGGACGCCACTCCGATCTTAGCAAGGTGTTATATTTATTTTCTCTTGTTCTATATTATTTAATTAGCAAACAATTTATCTGTTGTGTATGTGAATGTAGCTTGTTCAGCGAAATAACAATAGTGACAATTGCAGACTGTGATCATCTTAGACTTTAAGTACGTAACCAAAATTTGTACATGTAAATCTTTCGCTGGAAAACAGCATGTAAACAATGCACAAAATAATAAATGTGTTCTAATGTAAAAGGAAATTTGACCCCTTAATAGAAAATGTACAAACAAGTTTTAAAAAGATCTAAAATTTTTATTAATCATTGCTTTGCAATACGTACAAAAATGTCTGTGATGTTGGGAGTATTAATATTTAAGTCGTTTGTTCAAACTTAAGTACAAACTATAAGAGGGCTAATCCTGCGCCTCATTTTAAAGAAGCTGGAATGTAAGCCATAGAGCATTTTAAAATGTTTCATATGAAGGATTCATTAATTATATAGGCACCCTTTATAATAGTGGGCACATTAATAACTTTTAAATGTACAGCGATAACAGGTAAACTTTGTGAGCACAGTCATGTAGTTGCATATCTACAACTTGGCGCGCTTGAGGTAATCCTTGTAGTAACATCACGCCACCAATGGGGACGTTCATAGACACCCGGGGTCGACACAATCGTGCGCTGCAGATGCTGGTAAACCTGCAGAGAATAATAGAATACTCATATTTATAAGACAATGTAAGATATACTTGGCAGAGATTTTGACTACATACATTGCCATCACTCATGCCCAAAGGCGAGTTCAGAAAAAATCGGTAGGAGCAATTGCATCCACCAGGGCTATGGCCTCATCCTTGAGGACAGATAGCAGACCCAAAATTCCCTGCTCATATAAATTCAGATGCGAATTGTCCCGGAAGAAGCCGCCCTGGTAGAAAATAGCGGAATACTTGGTGACCAAATGAGCTCCATAAAACGAGAGCACTTGCTGTAGCACTCCTTCTCAGCCGAGGCGGGCAAGTTGATCACAAACTTATAGAACACGTAATATATGGTTCGCTAGAGATTTAAAAAAGAATTGAATTAAAGTAAAGAGGTGCTACTGAGCTGGTAGAATTACCTCGCCATAGATTAGAGAAAGCTTTTGGGCCGCAAAAACCTGGATGTTGTTGCGCGTTTCGAAAGCATCCTTACCCTCACGTTGTTGTTGCTCGACTCGCTTTACAGTAGTCTCCAGTTGCCAAGCAGTGAGCCAGTTGAGCGCCTTTAGAAGATCTGCAAAGCAATGCAATTTTCTTTAATATTCAAAAAACTCTTATAACACATTCATTGCTTAAGTTATTTAGGGAATAGCTGATGTAGGATACTTACTGTTGGGATCCAAGGCCTCAGCTGGTGTACGCTCCTGGCCCTTGCTCTGCAGCAGGGCATCCATATTTTGCAGGAATGACACTGTTTCCAGAGGTGAAACAGCGACAAAGTCGGCGTTGTTGCGACGAAGGCTAATGAGCCAATTCGATGCCTGCTGGATAAGTGTGTTGTTCTCGCCCTCGTAGGTGCAGTTGGCATCGTTATCGTTTCGCAGGTCACCCAAACCCGAAGATCTTAAGTATCCATGGCCTCCGCATGCCTCCCGGCATTCTTGGATGCCATCCCTGGCCGCCCAGGTGGCCACTGGCTTGAGGGCCGACGATATGGCGTGAATTTCCATGCCCGCCTGCGAAGTGTCCTCGCCAGTAAAGCCCTTCATTGTCAGATCAACATTCTCCTTGCCGATCCACAGCGTGGCCACACGCAGAGCAATCGTTGTGGCCAAATGGGGAATGAGACGGTACTGCTGCGACTGATACTCGATCACTGGCCACTCCACCGTAGAGTTGGGTGGCCCAAACTGCCGCCGGCTTGCTCCGTAGCGAGTGGCAATAGTTACCGCCTTGCTGAGGGCCACGTACGTGATGGCTGTTATGTTGACGCGACCAACGGATAGGGCGCCCAGCGAAGCACCCAGTCGCTTGCGCTCGTCTTAATCTGGCTGGTGTAGTTGCCCTGTGCGTCGATGTCGCCTGTCTTGGAAAGGAGATTTTCCTTTGGAATACGGTACTGGTTGAACATAACAAAGCTGCAATAAAACTTAAATTTAAATACATTGGTTTCCAATGAAAGCAGCAGGTGAAAACTTGCCCGTTGTCAATGCCGTTGAGGCCGATCTTTTCGCCCAAATCACCCACGGTAACGCCGGGGAAGGGTAGCAAGTACGCTCGTCTCGAATGGGCACCAGAAAGGCCTGTGAAAAATAATTTGATATAGAAATCCGATTAGGTTTTAATAAAATATGCAACTTGAAATGTAGTTAAGTTTGGCAATATCATTGGTAATAATTTGAGAGTATGTAGTGTATGTATGTAACTTACCTGCAATCCCTGGTGTTTGTCATCTGGAACAAACAGCTGTGCGTACACAATTGCGTGGGTACAGGTCTTGCCTAGGTTGCCCACCCAGCACTTGGCCGCCTCGAAGTCCGGCGTATGTATGATAAACTCCTGCCTCTTTAAGTCGTAGGTGGCGCGGGTGCGCATACCAAGCGCATTGGTGCCGTGCGAGATCTCGGTGAGAGCGTAAGCACCCAAGATACGATTGTCGGCGATCTTAGCCACATACTTGCCCAGGCGACCGGATCCATTTGAGACTAGGGTGCTGGGGAACATACCCGTGGACAGGCCGAACTTCACAGACGTGCTAAAGTCGTAGCTAAAGATGGCCTGACCGAAGGCCAATAGCAAGTGCGGGGTTCCCAGGTACTGAAAGTGTATCCATTAATAACTTCTCTAACTGGCGAATTAAACGTGTTAAACCCACCTCATTAACACCATAGAACTGTTGCTCCCAGAGCAGATGCTGCCTCTTGTTGGCCAACTCCCGGGTACGCTCCAGGCCGGGCGCCTCGGGCTCTCGCTGGAAGTCGGGGTGGCGCTCCATCCATTGCCACACCTTGTGCTGCACAGGAGGGGCGGCGTGTAATCAGGTTAGTTACTCAAGACGCAGATAAGCGTAATGGTGCGATAAGATGGGGCCAACAGGGTGCAGCTCCCGATACGAGAACTGACTTTACAAAGAAGCTTGTACTTTGACCCCATCGCCGCGGCAACCCACTATAATTACCTTTAGGCGAATATGCTCCTCACCCTCGAGCAGCACGTTCATGCGCTTGTAGCAGAAGCTCGAACGCTGACGGTACGTGTCCAAAGGTCCGCCGCGGAACTCCGGAAAGATCCGCTTGTCCTCGAGGATGTTGACTGGGTGCTGTTCATCCTTGCGGCCGCTATAATAATCGCCCAGGGCGGTCAGTAACTGATTCAGATTGTTTTGGGCGCCAGCACCGTCGCCGTCCCTGCGTTCTCTGCGCTCGCCATTACACTAATGCCATTGCCCTGGTGGTGGCGTTCGCTGGTTGTGCTCACGAAGGCGGTGCGGGGGGCGGTAATCATACTCACTGTGTGCTCAATGCAACCATGTCTAAATACAATTCTGTGACTGGGAACGGGTCTGATGTGGACTTTTCAAACGTCAGGCGCGAACTGCCCGAAAGTCAAGGCACTCGAAACTATTATTGACCAAATTGGCCGGCAATAGCCAATCGCCCGGTGATAAGCCTAACCAGCTTATCCGCACTTCATGATTGGGCCCGACAACCCGTTTCGAGGATTACATCCGCCAACCGATAAGATAGGCACACCTACCGAAGTGGAGGCGAAATTCCATAAAACTGACCGACGACCACTAGATCGATTAGTTGAAGATTTCACTTCTATTTTTACGGAACCCATAAATTTCATTTCCTATCAAATAAAAACAAAAGAAAACAACACTAAAATCATGAATGAGACCTTTATAACGTTTTACACGAACCATGGAGGGAAACTTGGTTAAAAGGGAATACATTTTACTTTCTGTTCTTTCTCAGTTGAGCTAAGCCGTTGAAGCAGCTGCTTATAAAAATTATACAAATAGTTGTACCCCTCGTGAATTTAAATTTATTTTTTAATTCTTGTTGAATGCTATTTGCTTGCTTCTTATAGAGGTGGGAATTTGAAACCATTCAGCTATCGATAAACATTTTAAAAATATTTTTTCTTATTCTACAAGACCTTGTAACATTTTGAAAAATGCAAAAAAAAAAGGTTAAATATGAAACTTAAGTCCAGCAACCCACAATAATAAAAAAAAAAACTATAATCTACTTTTCCGACTAAATAATATTCAAAATAAAATTTATATAGGTAAAGGGATTTTAAGAATTTTTAATTGCCAATTAAGTACCCATTTAAATTAATTTTAAAGTCATAGCGACAATCGGAATTAATTGTAAATTTTGTTTAGTTTATTATCATCCCCGGAGATCTGAAAACAAATCCTGCGTTCTTCCAGATAAATGAATATATGCAAAATTAATCTTATTGGCTTTATTGATTGTGTTCTTATTACAACTTACACAGTTAGTCAACATGCAATGTTCTCTATTTTCGTTATTGGCTATTTGTATAGACGATCGCTTGTCACGCTATTGATTATTTTATATCTTATAAATAGTATACAACGATTTTGCTTATTTAGCTAATTTTTAGTCCAAACTAAGGTTCTCTATTTCCGAAGGTTAAACTAATTAGGTAACACGTAGTCATTGATAAATATATTTATATAAATCCTATTATTAGCGTTCATCGGTTAGTATAGCGAACATGTGGAGTAATTCCTTTTTGACAATTGTTAAAAAATTTGTATAAACTACAATATTAAATAAAATTTTGTTGGTTTTATAAATGTATTAGCTAAAATGGACTAATTGACGGATTAAAACAAGGTTTAAAATTTCGACATCCCCGCCTAGAGTGAGTTGCACTGGTTTCCAAGGATATATGTACCTTCATATGTATTTACCTCTTTGAAAGCATATATCTTTTTTAATGTCAATAGAATGGTTTCTGTCAATATTTAAATTTTTTTTCGTTTCTTAACTCGCATATCTGGTCTTGTACAAAACTACTGTCCGACTTTTCAATCAATTTAATCCTTAAATATGAGAATGCTAAATATGTCAGAAATACCTCCATCAGTTCGTTGCAATCTTATAGCCAGAATTTACCTATACAAATGTTTTAAAAGAGGTACGCAAATTCTTACTAGCTAGTATTACGGTAGTACACTAAGCAAACAAAATATTACAATTTTTCTTTTACAATATATGTTCGATTCGGGAATAAAAACTGATAGTGATACAGAAATGCTTATCTCCGGGATACATTACATTTTACCTTATTCCTTTAAATAATCGTTTTCGTAATGCTTTTCTTATTTAAACATTAAAAATTAAAGTCATAATTTGAATTCCTAATGCATTAGACAATTTTTTTCAAACTTTAATCCAAAGGGAAACATTTTGAACTTTTTATCTACAGCCAAACAATACATGAACATTATTTTAAATATTAAAAATATAATAAACTGACTAAATAAATTTCTTTAAAAAAAAAACATTTAGCTAAATTAAACAAAAATAATCTAGAATGAAGAGATTGCCACTTTTCCTCTTAAAAAAAATATCAAGGGTGTCGGAAAGATTAACGCTCTTTTCTATCAGCGTGCCAGATAGCATATCCGCTTCCACTGGCTCCCCCAATGGAGAAGACAGTCCATCGGTGCCGCCCTTTGCCGCACCCTCTTCCTTCGTCTCATATCATCGACTCTGGACAGAGCTGGCCGCTGACGAGTTTGAGGAGAAGGCCGATTGCAGGCTTGTCATGGAGCCCTTGTAGTTGACAGAGCTGAGTACCTCGTAAAAGACATTCAACTGTGCTCCCGAGGGACTGAACCAGTGCATTATATAGCTGTCGTTGTGGTGCATCACATGTGAGCCCTGGACGCTCTCCTTGTGTCGGCAAATAAGTGTGGGCTCTTCCCGGAAATAGTTGACGCCCTCAACGAAGTCTTGCAGATCAAAGTACGACACGGCGGCATCTTTAACCAAAAAGCGTGTTAAAACAATTAATAGAATATTATAATAAATAAAATAATTATAAGCTACAAACAGAAAATCTTTCATAGGCTTCAAAATTTTCGCATATAAATGAGCTCTCACCATTCTTCTCCGGCAGCTCCTGGGTGACTCGGTATAGTGTGAAGTGTAAGTCATTGCGCATTACATCAAAGTCCCATGTCAATACGCTCTTTGGGTCTTCGTTCCGGATAAGCAGCTCGTGGCTGAAGCCCGCCTTTAGCTCTACGCTCTTGTATAAGTTATTATGGTCGTGCTGAATAATTGTGGACAGGCGCTTGGCTGGAACAAGTGCCTCGGCAGCACTGGCAGTGGCTTGCAACTCAACGGCGGCCACGTCGTCGTCATGATCCTCTTCTAGCGAGTTCATCTTGTATAGCGATTTGGGAACTAGTCCGCCCTCATGTATCATGGTCTGGTAGTGGGAAAATATTGCACTTTCTTAAAACAATTGATAATCTTTATCCAAGGGTCGGTGATAAGGACTAAGCACGTATGTGACAGCCTCTGGGGTGAAACAGAGATCAGGGACGCAAAAACTGATGTGAACGGTGAGCACAACTGGGGGCTAACAAGCTCACATGGACATTGCACATTTTGCAAACACAAAAGACGCACAAACAACAAAGTGTAAGCGACGAACAAAAACGAGGAAGTAAGACAATAGCTGACGATTATAGATATTAACATATTCTTGTGGTTGTGGAAGGACCAGTGGCGTACGAAGGAATGATATTGCTGTTATAAACTCCCAATATCGAAATTTCCCAATGAAGTCCTGCGTACGCCACTGTTGGTGACAAAGAAGATCGGAAGCAGAACGAATGAAAATCGAGAGAACGAAAGTTAAAGAAACTGCTTACACAATTGCATTTGGCTAAATAACAATGGCGAAAGTATTTCTGACTGACTTGCTCCACAAGCGACACAGGCTGGGCCTCTAACTGAGCCGGAGTCGGACGAGAAGAGAGAGGCGGAAATATATAACAATATATAGAGTAAGTACGTAATCTACAGATGCTGCAGTCAAGTCATGAAGTCCCAACACCGAAGGCGTGCCACAGAATCGCAGGCATCTCTATGGTGCTTACCTTGCATGGTCCTCCCAAGAAATCTGGCACTATTTCCTCATCGAGATATTGCGCCAGACCATCCTTCATGTGAACGCAATCGGGCCCATAGAATAAAAACTTAGAGCGGGTGTGTTCGTCTATAAAGATTGGTTAAAGATTTAAAATTGAGTGCGAAACCTACAAGACGCAGCTACTCACCGATGAACGCACTAACAATAGTCCAAGCAATGGGAAAAACTCTTGGCGCACGCACTACCAGAACACGGCCATTGTCTCTGGGTAATTGCGCTCCACTGTCTCGATGATGTATAGAAGAGCCTTGATACCGGGTCGCCACAAGTGACGCATGGACAGCCCCTCCAAGTCAACGAGCAAGGACCAGTTGAGCACAGGCTTCTCAAGGCGCTCCGCGGACTCGTTGATCTTCTGTATGCCCTCCTCGCAAATGTGCAAAGCCTGGGCAGCAAAAACCAACCAGAATAGGATAATTCACTCGACAGATCACTAAGGAGGGATGCGGCATTCTTACCAAACGCAGCAGGCCTTCCATTCCCAGTGACTTCAGCAGGCCCTTGACATCCATATGGCCCAACCTAAGAATGTATACGGGCCGTCCGTCCTTGTCGTGGTGATGCCAGCCGCCCGGGAAATGCTCCACAACCACAGCTGGCTTGGTGTACTCCTCCATCAGGGCGTCGATGCGGTGCTCACGACGCCAGCGGAGCGAATCGCAGAGCATGGCGAAGGCCTGACTAACATGCCAGTCTCTGGCTGCCAAGAAACGCAGGATGGTCTGATAACTGGGCGATCGCTCCACGTCATCGACACCATCAAGCATTTTCGCAGCTCCAGCAGCTTGGACTCCTGCATTGGCGTGAGTTGCCCTAGACTGCGAGCGATGAAGTCACCGTCGAGCAAAATGTCATGATGCTGATCTGGAACGTGGTCCAGGACCGGTGACTTTGGAGCGTCGGCCGGTGGTGTCCAGCGGTCCACATGTGTGATACCCTCCTCACGTAGCTGGCTAATGAAGTACTCAATTATCTCCTTACCCTTGAGCGTCGTCTGGGTGTACTGTTTCATTCCCATCTTTTCCATGGAATGCTCAAAGCCAAAAAAGTTTTTAATGTCCAACGTGGCCGTCTGATCGAAGCACGTCCATTCAGAATTGTCAGGATGGGAGTAGTAGCGACACCTCTCGAAGATCTCGATGCGTGAGGAGAAGCTTTCGTTTACCGCCTCAATACTCAGCGTGCGGTTTCCCATGTCTAGGTAATTGTGCTGCAGGAAAAACACGAAATCTACGCCGATTAGCTTCTTAAAAATGTACGGCGCATCCACCGCCAGCTTGCAGCGCCTGCTTGTGTTCCGCTTAGCCCCATTCTCCAATGACTCGTCCTTAATAATCTCGCAGTCCAACACAATGGGCATCTGGGGACAGGTGGGAAAACGACGCTCGTACGCCTGTAAGTTAAAAAATAATATTATATTTATATTTATATATATTTTTATTGTACAGTTGGACAATTTTTTTGTTCATGTAATCAAGACCTTTAAAACTAACAAAGAACATCTTTTACAAAAATGTAATTTTATCTATCCCTTTTTTTAATGAAAAATGTAACCAGCTTAATTGCGTGTTCCATAAGATACGTATATACATACATAGGTGAAGGTTAGAATTATAGATCGCTGCCCTTCGTCCGATTGACAATTAAACCTAGACATGATAAATAATTTAAAAGTTAAGGACGACTGTGCTACTTGTATATACATAGTGTTATGGGAAACTCGAAACCAAGAAACAGCTTGTTGTCCGAGTCTGAGAGCGTGTTCCAGTGTTAAGTCCATCAACCACTAAATTATTTAAAGCAAAGGGGATATGGGTCAATTGAAGGACCTTAACAGAAGCATAAACTCTCAGATTAAGTATTATGTGTATGTAAACTTAGACACAATACTGCACCACGAAATTGATGTTCTTAATTAAACGTTACATTTATATTATGAGTTGTAATAAGAATACGATCTTTTTCTGATTACACCCGTTTAGGGTATTGTAATTTTAACATCAGTCATTTTAAACCCCATTTGACAACGGGATTAAATTTTGATTTTGATTAAATTATTATTATTATATCACTTAAATCGATTAATTATTAGTGATTCTTCAGTGGCAGTATTTGTATTATTAAAATATATATAAAAAAATAAATATTACAACTGATTACAAATTTTATAACGCAGAGGTTTACAAATTCTAACAAAAAATAATTAACAAATTCATATATTCACAAGTATTTACACACATATTAATGTAGGTTGCTGTATAATGCGAGTGCAAGAAACCTGATTTAAGCCCTGTATTAAGGACATATGTACATATAAGCCAATTAGTTACTGCTAAAGAAATAAGTCAATGTTTACAACAAATAAAATAGAGATATATACATATATATATTAATATATTCCGCACTGGAACACAAACAGTAGATGAATATAATTATATATACTTTATATACCTAGGTATATATATATTTGTATGTATACATAGTTTACAGCTATCACCTCCTCAAAAGCAGATATGTATACACACATTTTATATTTCTGGTGCCGTTATGCGACAGCTCGGAGATTATTGTTAGTGTCCAAATGGATCGCAATCACTCATTTCCGGTTTCAATTATCATTATTGTATCATTTGAGGAGGAAAATACAAAACTAAACCGAACCGCTCATCTGTCAGAGTTCTTATTTCATTCATGATATTACATACATATTTACGTTTGCTCTTGCTCTGCCATTCTATATTGTATAGAGAAACAAACGTTCTCTCCTTCTCACTGCGAGCGCAACAGAAAGGAGAGAGCTCCGGAAATGCTGCCCAAGGTTAATTTTATTTATCGTCTGCATTTTTGTAAAACAAGGAAAGCTGCTGACTACTGCCGAAATAAATATAATATGCGAACAGACTTCGACAGCTGCACATTGGCACATACAATAGTCAAGGGAATGGCACCTATTATCACGCCCTTGAATATTTACGAATGCACTCACAAACACAGGAAAAGGGGTGGGTTACGGAACACACGCCTACGCCTCATGCAAATATGATACACACCTTCATAACCAGTTCGAAGGGATATTTGTAGACCCTCACAGGAGATTGGAACTTTTGCACCATCTTGTTGCTCTTTTTTCTGCTGTTCTGGTGGTACTCGAAGAAAACACTGGCTAAAAATCAATGTTCACTTTGTATGCACTTTTCCGATACGGCCTAGGGCCGGGGAGATTTGTTCGAATAGTATTTCGATTTGAGCAAATATATCAGGCCACTTTTATATTTAATAGTGACAGCACACAGCGTTGTTTGATTTTGTTGGAAATGTAATGTGTCTTGTGTCAATTAGCCTTTGGCGTTGGCGTTCTCCTTTTGCACAGTCCCAGCTTGTCTGGCGTCTCAAACACCAGCTGGCCGAGAAAAGCAGGGAAAGCCTATCTCTTGTTCTGGCTAATGCGTGCGTATATTGACTTATATCGACTATTCGATTTCAAATACTCGATTTCATAAAACGTCAAGACGAATATTGTTTATTTATTTTAACTTCAAATATTAAAAGACCTGCGCCCTGTGGTTGCGCATTCACAGAATAAACTGATTGATGAAGATAACGAAATTTTTAAAGTTTCTTATTCCGACAATTCGGTATATCGCGTCTAAATTTGGTTTGGTATTAAAAGTATGGTAGCACTAATTTATCGATAGTTGTAATGGTATATCGATAATCAGCTAAACACTCATTATAAAAAAATAAGCACTCATTCCGCAGTCCGTAAATATTAGGGCCTTGAAAAAAAGAAGCATAATAAAGTATACATTATTTTAAGCATACAAAAAACATGTTTTTTAAGAAAGAAGAAATATTACATAACTCATATATATAATATTTATTTATTCCTTAAGGGGTTACATACAGTTAGAGGGCAAAAAAAAGTGAATTTTTAGAGTGTTTTATGAAGAAACTTTTTAACTTATTGCTCCCAAATTTTATACACATATTATAGTATCTTTTAACTGTATTTTAAGAGTTAGAACTAGTAAAAATATGTATGTGGAGAAGAGTTACACCTGTTATCCGGGAGCTCCTCTTAAAAAAGACGTTTTGCGGTGACCACTATATGTCGGAACTGGATCATCCGAAATTAAAAAACCAAAAAGATTTGTTAGAGTTATGTCAAATCTAGAAATTAATCGAAGGAATAAGCAAAATAATATTTTTTTGACAAAATGGCAGTTTCGCAAAAAAACAAATCGATTTTTCGCCGAAATTTCCGCCTTAAATTGTTTATAAAAAATAAACTATTTATTGGAAAGAAAAAATCTTCGATTAATTTCTAAAAAATATATTTAAGAAGGTCGTGTTAAAATTTGAGACTAATCGGGCTAGCCGTTTTCGAGCAATGTTGGTCACCGACTTTGAAAACACCATTTTGAGAAAAACACGTTTAAAGTTTGGAATGCACATATACATACATATGTACATAGGAGCACTTTACATAGAGCACTCTGAAACGACTTTTTCAAATTTACTTATAACTCAGGAAATATTCACCGAAACTTTCTGTGTATATTCTTAAAAATATTTACATTAAGAAAATAAAATAAAAAAAAATTGATTTTTTAAAATTCTAACTGTGTGTAACCACTTAATATTATTTAGAACCCGGTATGAAAATCAAATTACATCAAATTTTGGAACCGGCCTGATTAAGGGTCCCCAAAAACCCAATTTTATTTAATTATTATAATAATGTGTTTGAAAGTTGCTTATGTTAAAAAGTTCTTAACATTCATATTCAGCAGCTCAAAACACCCAGGCCGTGCCAAAATTGTAGGCCGGTGGGCAGGCATCGGGTCTTTCAGCCCCCGGCTCTCCATTATTTTTTGATAGCTCGGGGAAAAAAAAGCTGTTACCGAGCGATGTTCGCCCGCACACTGTCTGGCTGCGCTTTTACCCTTCGGACCCCGAACAATGTTCCAGCGGCTTCACTGAAAAAAAGAGCCGCGGTAGGTAACTGAATGAGCCGCGGGAACTTAAAACCGCACTACGTTCCCGGGTGGGAATAAATTGGTGCCATATGCATATTATTTTTTTGCGCGTTCTCTGGCGGTGCCGTTTCCAATTTCTACGAAAATTTACATAATTTATACAATGCCTTGCGCTTGCGGCTTTTCCAGGCTTGAGGTACTTGTGAGAGATTATTAGGAATTTTCTTAATTTTAGGTTTGTTTTAGAGATCAATATTGTTTATTGGTGTGTCTAATCAATTGAGAAAAACTCTTTCGAGTAAAAACCCATTGTAACATTGAATGTGTGTGTGTGTATAAGTTGAATTAAATTAAATTAAATTAAGGACTACGACTATGACTATATACTATAAACTACTTCTGGGGGGGTGGGTGAATGGATGGGTGGGGGTGGATTATTTACAGGGGAGAAAAAATATAAGTTAAAGACTATTAAAGATAACCAATATTATTGATTTATATTAAAAATTAACCTGGCTGGGCCAAGTAGTTGTCTGGATCTGTGATAAAAAATTAAATTTCCACATCTATCGTATATGAGGCCTTTTCTTTTTAAATGGTCAATGTGCCTAATTGTTTAGTTTAAAGATGTGTGGTCAATTCTCATGGAGGTCTGGTCAGTGCTATTAGCTATAGTCTGATTCGTACTGTTTTTGTTATTTTCAATAAATTTGTCAATTATTTTAAATGCAAGTACGTCAGCTCTTTTTATTTTAGTCATTTTATACAGCTTGCTATTGTTAATGTAGTGGTGTGTTGAGGGGTCTATGGCAGCAGCCCCAACAGCCCTACGCAACACCTTCGATTCGAATAACCGAATCTTCTCCATCAGATTAGATTGGATATTAAACCACCCATGTGGCCATAGATTAGGGCGGGTTGTAATATCTTTTTATATATTAACGTCTTTACTTTAGTCAGTTTAGTCTTTGTCGCAGCTTTATTTGCCCCCAATGGGTCGAAGACTTTATGCATTTTTGCTATGCAGCCTTTGGCACGCCTCAGTGCGTTCGTAACGTGTTTTCGAAAACTCAATTTGTCATCGTAGAGAACGCAAAGGTATTTCACTTCTTTTTGTTCTATAATTTGTATATTTTGATTTATATATATGCGTGGGTGAAAGCTTTAGCCTCCATTTCCTGAAGTAGTCACAGAGTTGGTCAAGATAGCAATTTAGGTCCATTTCAGCGCTCGCAATTCTCGCCCCCGATGCCAGGAGGAGCACGTCGTCTGCGTAGATTAGGGGTAAAATAGATGCCGTTGATTTAGAGAGCGGGTCCCTCCTATATTGTGGGAAATCAGCCAAATAGATGTTTTACAGTATCGGTGCTAACAGAGAACCTTGTGGAACGGGTCAACGATCGATCTACACCATTTGGGCTGCATACATAAAATGATCTATTATTTAGGTAGCTATGAATGACCCGAGTTAATTTCGTGTCGAAATTGTAAAATATAGTCATTTTATATATGAGCCCATCCGTCCATACCGTATCGAAGCCTTTTCAAAATCCAAAGCACATGCAATGGTCGGTTTTCTTTCGGCTAAGTTACCGAAGATGAAATTATTTGCGACGGCTAAAGAATGATTTATTGACAGGTTGTCCCTGAAACCATACTGAAAATCTTGTAGAATTTCGTTTGCTCCCAGATGCACTTTTAGTTTAATTAGCAACATTTTCTCAAATAACAACAGAATGGTGATTGGCCTATAGTTTTTTAGGCTTGTCTTGCCATTTTCACTTCTTGTAATATTGGTTTCGGTATGGGCATAACCCTTCCACATTTCCAACTTGTTGGGAAGTAACCAATATTAAAACAGTGATTAAACAGTCTGGTCAGATGACTCAGAACCAGCCGATTGCAGCGTTTCAGGAGGAAGTTGCTTGTTTTATCCGGACCCAGAGTCCTCTTCCCATTGTTTGCGCTTATATATTCTGAAAGCTGATCGGCAGGCCACCGGCACCGGAGCCATCTGCTCCAGGCCATTCGCCATCGGCCGTAATCGTTTGGCTAAATTCAACTATGGGTTCATCCGACGCTTGTGTGAAAACTTCACTTACAAAGTTTTCCACAAACGTGGAGTGCCGAGATAATTCCGGGCTGCTAGCTGTCAATCAATCATTTTGCTTATGCGTTTGCTCAAATTTCCATGCCAATGCATTGACTTTTCAAATGAAGAAGTTATGAGCTCATGGGTGTCAAAGTCTATATTTTCCATCTCATCCTGTGTGAGACGAATCACTCCTCCAAAGTCGTACGCCGAGTCAGTAGGTAATAGTTTCTTAAAGCTAATGTAGTTTGGTCTTATATCCATGACCTTTCGCTCAATGAATTCGAGACGGCATTTCTCGATTTCATTGTCAATAAGTCCGGATAGGATCGAGATCATCTGCTTATTCTGCTACCCTCGTGATAGGGCAGTGAGAGGCGTTGCCTAAACAGGCGCCGTCTCAATTTCCGACGACAATGAATAAGCTTTAGACATTTGTCACTCAGTTTGAGGATCTTCCTTGGTCTAGACGGGTCAATAGTATGTCTGGGAATGGCTATTTGGTTTTGTAGTCCCCGCTCGAACGCCTCAGTCAGTTGGTCAACATGAACATCAATGCTATCTGCACTCAGATTGGAATCATTTGGGATTGACGTTATGTTCCCCGTCATGTCATGTTCCAGCCAAATGGTCCATCTTCCTGAAGTTTAGGATGACTTTTGGATCCATTTGCACTGGCTGAAAACGTCCGAGCGGCAATTCCGCCATCACACCAAAGTGATCGGAAGTAAAGTCTTTAACCACATTACAATTTCTGCCATAGTTGAGCGGCAAGTCAGTAGATGATATGAGCAGGTCGATTGACGAATGGTTATTGTTCGAGTTCCGCCGTGTAGGCTCTATTGTTGGATTCAGTATTAGATTTGGCTGATCTTGCAGCCACTCAAAGAGAACCCGCCCGTCCCGATTCAGGTGTGTCGAGTTGTGTAATGGACATGCCAACTGGGGTGTTTGGCATTTAAGTCACAAACAATTATTATTGCGCTGTCAAGTGAGTCGTGTTGTATGTCCCCCATCAACGAGTCTAAATCAGATTAAGGAGTGGGTCTTGAGGTCTTTTATATAATGAAACAGCAACTACTGTTTTTTTTGCTACCGTTGTTGTCGACTGATAATCTAAAACTATGACAATAGCCTCAAATTTAAGTGGCTTCAATGCAATTCTTTAAATTTGATGCCATTTGGAATACAGATGGCTACAGATGTACTCCGTTTTTCTGACTGCACAGTCGACCTTAGCATACTGCTAGTGTGCGTAGCTCCTGCTAGCTGATGTATAAATTGATATTTTGACAGGACAATCTGATGTCGTCGACTCAGTCTGTGCTCTGCAATTAGCATTATGTATATGCGGACGATGTAAGCTTATAAAATTGTCAAATTCGTCTTTTTCGCAGAGACACAAAAGAGTTAACATTTTGAACATACATTTAGCTTACGCATCAC